AGACCCGAGTGAAGCTATCACAAGTAAACAAGGTTTGTGTGGTGGCTTTTTGTTGAGGTTGGCAGTCAAAAGCAATTAGGCTGCCTGTGATGTTACTCTACTGAGACACAAAGCAATACAAAGAGATAAGACAGTTCAAAAGGAAAAATGTTTTCTTGGGGGGGGTTTCAGTGGGAAATGATTTTGATCCTTCATTTTTACTGATAGCACAGATGGCATGCGTTTGTGTCTATGTAAAACATATGCTGTAAGATGTCAACAGGGACAGCTTTACTCTTTCTCTTCTAGCTCTTGTATGTAATATAATTGTTTCCTCAAGTGACCAATAAATCACATGGTAAGAATGAAGCCTTTAATTCCACTACTCTAGCAGTGCTTCACGCCCTTGTTACAAACACAGTGCCATGGAGGTTTTAAGTGACTGCAAGGTCTCAGTCCCAGGCTGCCTGAGACCAAAAACCGAACAGGAATTGACATGTTTTGAAGCAAATACGCTTTTACTTATCACTGCTTTTAGTTATTGTGTTCATAAATGTGAGTTCTGATCTTTCAAAAGCTTTCACACTTCTAACTTCCTCTGGGAACAAATACATGGAAAATCCAATACTCAGAAGATTTCCCTGGTACAGCTATTTCTGGCTGAGGTGAGGTTAGCCATTTGATCTGTATTTAGCCTCAGAAAAGTCTTCCTGCTCTTCTAACTTCTAAAAAGGTAGGGAGGAGGTTAACTACATGAAAAAGTTTGAAGAAAACACAATTACTGTATTTTAGCTGAGATACAACATGCTGAAAATACCAAAATAATTATGAAGCTATGAAAATAGTAAGTTAAAAATAAAAGCTGAACTATGACCTGACGGGTAGGTTACATTTTCTTCAGTTACCTGTATGCAGCTCTCAGTCAGTGGCTGCTATGTACAAATCTTTTTATGGAGGAGTTTTGCAGTAAATAAGAGAATGCTCTCTACCTCAGGAATAACCAGGCAAAATCTACCTCCTATCTTCTCTAGGAATTCATGCTAGATGATGACAGGGTTATCTTAACATCTAGGTATCCCTGCAGGAAATTCCACTGACACAGAAGTAGCACAGTAAGTAAGCTACAACCAGTACCTTTTCTGGCTTGCTGGAGATACTTGGCCAACAAAGCGCCGATGTTAGCTCTCTGGTCAATGCTTCCATCCAGCCGCGGCACAGATTTCAGCGGGCCAGCAGACGAAGGGGCACGGACGTGCCGGTGATGTGTCAAGCTCTGCTCAAGCTCAGCAGCCAGCGGATTCTCATTGTGCGAGCCCACAGTTTGCTGTCCGAAAGAGCTCGCTGAGAGCACAGCAAGGAACACGCAGATGCATATACTGCTGTACATTGCTGGAGAGAAAAGGAATGATGGGCTGTTAAAATGACCAGATTTACTACGTTGTATGTTGTCCCTACCCCCATCTTCCATTGGGCGTGCTGGTTTCTGAGCAAACTAGGGTTGTGGGTTTTTTGGTTTTAATGCAGGTAACTGTGGGATCTGTCTTAAGTTGGAAAACATGTACGTGAATAGTTAAATAACCGCTGGTAAGAGGAAGATACATTGGAAGGAATAAAACTAATTCACTGCAGTATGTGGTACATCTCCCTGATTTACTCAATTCGTATTTGCTTTTCTTCTTTGGAAGCTGGATTTCATCAAAACATACGGGAGATGTATCGAGCTCTGTGAAAAATCTCAGGATTCAAATGCTACAGTATTTTGCTATTGTACTAAAATCTGCTGTTATTACAAATACTCAATTTTGACAAGTTCTCTGAAGACCCTTTACTCTGTCAACCCTTCATTGGTTTGAACTTTAGCGCTCAAGAGGTTTCACCTTGTCACACACAGAAAGAAAAAACAAAAACTTGTTCCGAGGAAAGAAAAACCAAAATCTAACACCCCTTCCGAAGCATTTGATCTAAAAGCTGAGGTGGTAAAAGCTGTTTAGTTAAAAGCTGTAAGAAATAATGTGCAACTTAACAATATTCTTCTTCATATAAAACAGAGAATTCAAGTGTAACAAATTTTTTACTGCTTCCTTAAACAAGTATTAGGCAAAATGATGTCGTTTTACTAGATTGTTTGATCATACAAGCTGAAATAGTACTTTTCTGGAAACACAGAAATTAGTCTCAGTTATTAGGAAAAACAAGGTACCTCGTATTTAATGCTATAGGAGTAATTTCCCTTTATAAATATACATGAATTATCTATACAAGAATTTTTGAATTTAAATTTTCGAACAGTATACTGAACATTATCTTTTAATTTTAAAAGAGAAGAAAATTAAGTTTATTTGCCCACTACATACACTAGATGGAAAACATTTGCAATGCATAAAATACGTTTTTTTAGTATTGTTAGGAGATGAATGAAAAATGTCACCACGTCACTCCAGCACGGTTATTAGTGATGTACCGTGTAGGTTTTGGTACTTAGAAACCAAAGGTGCGTTGCATCCTTTCCGCAGAGATATCTCTTCAACCGACCCGACTCCTGTATTTTTTATGCGTTTATATATTCATGTACATACTAACGATCCCAAACACAAAATCTCATCCCAGGCCGTTGCTTCTTTCACAGGACGCCTGGCCCTCCGGGAGCGCCGCGGGCCGCACGCCGCCCCCCGCAG